GGAGGCCTCCCCGCTGCTCCGAGCCCCCCGCGCAGCTGCCAGCCCCGGCACACAGAGCCTCCTGGAGGCAGCAGCCACCGAGATGGGCCACCAGCTCATTGCTTTGCAGAGAGAAAATGGTAAAATGAATCTCCTTTTTGCAGTGTCAGAGCAGGGGACCGCTTGGTCCCCCAGCAGCAGGTGCCAGCATGGGCTTTTCCAGGAGGTAATGCTGCTCTGTCATGTGGCTCTGCTCCTGCTGGGCAGCACACACATGCCTGGGCACACACCGAGCACCAACGCGCTCAGCAGGGACACAGCGGCAGATGTCCTCGCTCGCTCGGTCACAGCAGCTCTCCTGCAGAAGCAGCAGGCTCTGCAAGGAGCAGAGAGGCCCTCACGATGCAGCAGGGCAGGAGAAGCAGGAGCTGGAGGCTGCTAGGGCAGAGTGGCAGCAGAGGGGTTGGATGCGGGAAGCAGCAGCACGGGGTCCAGGCAAGGGGAGCGGGGCTCCCACCCCATCCTTGCATGCACACATGCACACGCACACCGTATCCCCACGCTTATTTGATTTTTGCAAAGCCGCGTGCACGCTCGCATCCCTCCTGAGTGCTTGCAGCAGCACAGCGAGAGCAAGGACACGTCCCCTCTCCAGAGCCCCCAGGCGCGCTCCAGCGGGTGTGGGGACACCCCCATGCTGCACTCACACATCACATCCAGGGCGAGCGGGGCCGAGCTCCGGCTGACCCCGTCCGCGGTGGCTTTGCAGTGGTAGAGGCCGGCGGCGGCGCGGGCCGCTCGCGGGAACGGCAGGGAGGCGGCTGGTGCCTGGGGCAGGGGGTGGCCATTTCGGTACCAGGTGATGTTGGGCGGCGCGGCAGAGCCGCTGCTCACGCGGCAGGTCAGGTTGACAGCTTGGCCTTCCAGCACCCGCGGGGAGGGATCCGCCTGCACGCGGGCACCTAGGGCAGGGCAGGGCATGAGCTGGGCAGAGCCGCCCCGGAGATTTCAACTGGAGTTCAATAGGACTCGCAGTTTGGGCCCAAACTGGCCACTGACGGCGCTGCGGGGAGCAGTCCCTTGGAAAGACAACACGCAGCAAAGGCGCCCCTGCAACTCCATCCTCTCCAACTCCCCAAGGCTGTGCTCCTGCTCTAGGAATTCCCTGCATCCCCTCTCCCAGGAGAGCATCAGGACCTTCCCTCCGGAAACTCTTCTACATCCGCATTAGATCAGCCCCCTGTACTGCACCCCGCTTCCCATCCACCCCTTTGGCTTCCGACCCATCACCCCTTTAGCAATGCTCACTCTCAGCCGTGAAGACCACGGAGGCGCTCGCGTTGCCGTGGGGGTTGCTGGCCAGGCACACATAGGTGCCCT